CTGTGATTGTTTGGTGCATCTTGGTAAGTAGGTTAAAGGACTTGCGAATGGACAAGCTGAACGACGAAATGACCTCCAAGACAGAGTGGCATTTGTTCGACGCATCAATCACGGTCGCCTGATCCAGTGTAGCCCATAAGGAGGGACAGAGACGACATGTCATAAGAACCAGGCTGGCCGTGCAAGCATCTGCGGCCTTGATTAGTCTATACCTGTATGTCTCAATAAAATACCTACATAGGCTGTTCCACCACCATGCTTCGGCAGTCTCTGTGCGAAAAGTTTCGTGAACCAAATTGATGAGCTGTATTGAAGAGCGTACACATGCTCTAGCACCATCGTGTTTGAAGGATGAGTGTAAGTCATCACTGGCATCCTGAGAAGTGTTCAGAGCTAGGAGCTGACTTAGGATTGGGCGGTACAGCATGACCTGTAGATACGTAAACCTGATGCCGTTTGGTAAGTAATCCTGAAGCAAAGCATCAGTAATATTGAGGATCTTACCGTGACTGTAACACGTTTCTCTGAATCGCGAGAATTGTCGCCTCGTGCGGCGGGATTGCGTCTCTAGCCCTAGATTCATGCCATGAGAGAAAGCTTGGGAGGCCAAGCTCGAAAGCCCGAAGCTTTGCTTGTAGCTCGGCAAAGACGTCCATACTCTGACTACTGATATCTGCCTGAGAACCAGCGCCATGATCGTCCTGAGGCATCTTGCATTGCCAAGGCCTGTATACTTTTGATAACATGCTATCTAGGATGATACTTAGACGGACAGTCTCTATTTGGAACTGTAGTTTAATATCATTGTTATCATCGGTATTCGGAAGGTTGAAAATGGTCCTATCTGGCAAAGAAAGCGTGGAGATACTGGTGATCATCGTGGGCCGACCGAAAGTCATGCTCACCAGCCTATATCCGTTAGCGAGCATCAAGGAAGGGTTTTAAGTATCCTTACGTATCTAGCACAATACAGCCGTGCCATGTCCGTCGTCTGATGCGCTGTATTAGCGACTCTTGCTCATCATACGGTGGCAAGCTGTGCAGGCCCAAACCCTGTGCCACTCGACAAGCTAAACCGGTAGTGTTCCAGCAGCGATCTGGAAATGAAGTACCTTGCAAGACTAAAGCAACCAGCACAAGAGTTTGCACAACGCTTAGATCATTTATGTCTAGGAGTTCAAGGTTGACTTTGTCCCTGGCTCGGCTGAAGAAGACTTCATAAGCCTTTGTCTTGGCTGCCGTAGAGAGGTTTGAGAAAATGCACCCCAACGCGAAGATGGCGTTCAAGGAAGAGAAAAAGGCAACGGTGGTGGCGTCTTCACCCAATCCTAGGTTCCGATACTCTTCTGGACATGCAGTCTGTCCGCTAGGTAACCAGAGCGAGTTGTAGCCATGCTCAAAAGCTTGTTTGTCAAATACGGGATAGATCCAGTATATGCGCTCAAAATATCTCTCCACGAGGTGATCTGCGAGGCGGCGTGGGGGAAGAGCAAACTTGTCGACGTCGCCAAAGAGATTTGTAGACTGTGAAGGACAAGTTTGAGGGTTTGGGCGATGATTTGAGGTAGGTATCGCAGTCCCGCAAGCCTCTTTTAAGAATGAGGCGGCTGAAGAAGAACCGTAGAAACCTTCACGTGTGTCACGGTGATGTCCAATGTCCTCTTCGGACGTGGTTGTGCCCATGGCAGTGACGCGTCTTGCATGGCTTGAATTCTCAATACTTTCAGTTGTTGTAGAAGATAATGGGGTGAGTAGTTGGGTATGAGATATGCCCATGACGAGAGCATCCAGCTCAGCTTGGCTCTCCGGGTCCGGTATGTTTTCTGGCCATGTCCGTCTATTACTGGATCCATCTGGATGAGGGTCCGGGATTGGACCATTCAGTGCTGAAGCTTGTTGTAGCTGACGTTCCAGGTCGCGAATCCGATCGTGTAGAGCTCTTGTGTAACTTGAACCACTTATCAGTCGCCGCCGAGTTCGCTTACTGAGTTTGTCCTACTCACTCATCGCTGCATTCTGTACGGGCATTCCCAGCCCTGTAGACGCACTGTTCGATCCCCAGTGCCCGCCTTCGACAGGTGGAGCAGATCGGCTTGATCCCGTCGCAGCGAGACTTGCGTTCCCGACAAGGGTCACATGCCAATGTCACTTTGCGGCGACGTTGACGCGATTGCTGCTCTGACATACTGTATGGATGCAAGTCACTGATATCGGAGATAGCGGAAGGGTCAAGAGTACAATAATGCGCAGTTCGGGTGACCTCCTGGTAATGTTGATGGAACTCAGCTCAGTTGGGGTGGAGGGGAGAACGGAAGCTGGCTACTCACTAGTTCCGCACTCCACGGGGTCCGAGCGACTTGGAGATCCCGAGGTTGTGGGTCTATGACTCGGTGAAGTCTAATTTATACACGCGTCGGGATGGTTCCGTCTCAGCTGGAGGCAGTGGAGTCAAAAATGCTCGTGACACTGCCCTTAATGATAAAAACAATTAGGTAGAAAAGCCACCAGTTTAGCGGTATCTTGTATGAGTTTAATCTGGCACCTAAGCCTGGTGCTGCAGTTTTCTGGCTACCTGATGGTAGGGTCAATTGACTGGAATGACAAGTGCAGCTGTAACACAAGGAATGCACCCGACCTATCGCGGCCATCTTTGTTCCACGGAGACAACCCGACTCACACAGCCGTGGCCCTCGCAAGACACAACATGCCTGGGGTATCATATGGCCCGACGACCTACCCCATGGGGAAATGCAAGCAAGCACCAACAAACATGTGACAGGTATAATAATAGGCCACCGTCATGAGATAAATACCGGTCTTTCCTAATTGTGAGACTCCCTTCCAACCGCCTCACTTCCAACATGACGTCAACGAAAGAATCACCATCTGGCTACAGCCAATTTGCTTGCATTGGCGCTGGATTCTCAGGCATTGCCCTAGGAGCCACGCTTAAGCGATGGTACGGAATCACCGACGTTCGTTTCTTCGAACGGCGCAGTGACCTCGGTGGAACATGGTATGCGAATAAATATCCCGGTATGTTGATACGGCGCTCCCAAAACTATACGCTGACTTAAACTCAAAGGCGCTGCTTGCGATGTACCAAGTGTCCTTTACAGCTACTCTTTCGAGCCCAATCCCAATTGGTCTCGGGTTCTACCCTCACAAGAGGAGCTTTGGAAGTACCAGAAACACGTCGCGGATAAGTATGATCTACCTTCAAAGATGACATTTGGTGTCGAGGTCCAAAAATGCCAATGGATTGAAGAAAAGAAGAGATGGGTGCTAGATATTCGTGATTGCAAGACTGGTGTCGTCTTCCAACACGAATGCAGGTTCCTGTTTGCGGGCTCTGGTATACTGGTCACACCTCGAGAGATTGACATTCCCGGCTCTGAAAACTTCAAAGGATCCATCTTTCACACGTCGCAGTGGAGGAGCGACGTTGACGTCAGTGGGAAGAACGTCGTGGTCATCGGAAATGGGTGTACAGCTGCCCAAATCGTCCCCTCGATCGTCGACAAGACAAAACACCTGACCCAGATAGTCCGTGCCAAGCACTGGATGCTTCCCCCCATTGACGGCGTGTATACCGATTACATGAAGTCCATCTTTAAGTATCTGCCAGGGACTATGATGATACAACGACTGCTCATATTCTTGTTCGCCGAGATTGAGCTAAAGGCAGTTCCAATGACTACCTCTGCTGCCAAGTTCCGTCAGAAACGACGCGCTTATGCGGAGAAGTTCATGCGAGACACTGCTCCGGCCAAGTATCATGACCTCTTGATTCCGGACTTCGAAATCGGCTGCAAGAGACGGATCTACGATTCTGGATACTTGGCATGTCTTCACTCCAAAAATCTGACTCTGACGAACGAGCGAGCTCTGAAAATTGTTGAGACTGGAGTCGAGACAGACCGTGGCTTTATTGAAGCCGATGTTATCGTACTGGCCAATGGCTTCTCCACCAATACATTCCTCGAAGGAGTCGAGGTTGTTGGGCGAGATGAAACGTTAAATCAGCATTGGGAGTCATTTGGTGGAGCCGAAGCTTACAATTGCTCTGCTATGGGTGGTTTTCCAAACTTCTTCATGCTTCTAGGTATGTACTTGCATGGTATGCTGTATGTAACTCACTAACTGTTGGCCAGGCCCCAATGCAACAACAGGTCACACCTCGGCGATCATGGCCATCGAGAACAGTGTCAACTTCGCACTGCGCATTCTGAAGCCTGTCCTTGACAGCCCCAATGGAGTTGTTGAACTTGGCAGAGACGCTGAAGAGCGTTATGTCAATCGCATACAGGATGATTTGTCCAAGACTGTTTGGAACTCAGGGTGCCAAAGCTGGTACATCCAACCACATTCTGAGAACAGCCGAGTATGGAATGCCATGGTATATCCGTATTCCCAGGGATACCTGTGGTATAGAAGCCTGTTTCCTGTTTGGCGCGACTGGAAGATCACAGTAAGTCATGCGTAGTTGACTTGGTAGTCTAATGAATGCTAACATTCTACTCAGGGCCATACTCGTGGTTGTAAATCTGTGTTTTGGCTCTTATTTAAGAGTCTCTCGGTTCTTGCAGGGGCGCCAGCTGCTTCTGCTTGTTTATACTTGCTGTGGAAGTCACAATGGAATTTCAAAGAGCTTTATGTAAATATTACTACAGCTCTCCATTCTATATACCTTAAATCTCAGTAAATTTCATAGAGCTTTACAGGCAGAAGTATTAGATACTAAAACCTGCCTAATTAAAGCTCAGTTAGCCTACTATTTTAATATCTACTGTATGTTAAAAGGTCCACTCCTTTCTTCTGCGTGTATAATTATTCCATGTCTAGCAAATAATTTTATAACCATATTTAGAGTCTAGGGTTGGAGTTTCAGGCAAGGTAGCCACTACAAGGAAGCGCCCCACACTGGTAAGTCTTACGTCCGACCACGAAAATGTACAACAAAAGCATCTTGGACTTTCCATAGGCAGATGGAAGACGGGTCAAACTGAGGCCGGCTTAGACTTGCCAGACTCGAACTGTGCACCAAAGCCGAGCAGGAATTCACCCTGTGTTTCTTTTTTCTCCCCTTCTTGAATACCGGGTCTTTCCGTGTGAGAAGGGATCGGTGGCGGTGCGGGTCGAGGAGAGCCACCTTGAGCCTCAATGCTCCAGGTCTTGGTCTTAGTACTGCCAAGTGATGTTAGTCTGCTAGCTTGCCCGAATAACTGCAACGATAGGCGGGGATGGAGTAATGGACGTACGGTTCAGGCATCGCCATGAGTATTTTCTTATATAATAAGGTCAATGACTTTTAAACGATGTTCGAGGCCAAAGATAGTGTTGAAGACGTTTGTAAGTCGCAGATGATGGGGGTTTGATGGCCAAAGGAGAGGCAAAAAGTAGTAGGATCTTATTCTTGGGAAGGACTTAGTGGTAAGAGAAAGCAGATGGGGAACGAAGACTGGATATTTATGGACGATAGGTAAAGGCCATGGATTTCGTAGTTACACAATGAGATGAAAACACCTCGCTGCTGTTTTCAGTTTCATCAGTATGTAGCCAACAACTCAGACATGTAGAGACGATTATACGTCTTCTAGGAACCTTTCAACCATATTTCCTGATCGTAGTCGGCAGGCTAGCAGGGAGCAGGCATTGCTAAATGGACCAAAGGCTGAACCAGCAAGGCAATACGATCACACTCGGCCCTGGCGTCCCTCACCAAGGTATGATAATTGGCCAGCGGAGTTTTGTTCAAAGTCATGGGTGGAGCTAATTGGTCTCTGTGAAACACTCAATTTGGCACATCCATCTTATCGGTAAAGAAGTCACAGAGGCTGTATCCAAGATGGTCCCTCTTCATGAGTTGACCATCCATGATTGGTCGCTGGCGTTTTGTTCGGTACCCTGCGAGATGCTCATTGGTCGTCTGCATTTTGTATGCTGTGTCGATCCCCGACTACCAAAAATCACGTTGGGGAGAAGCCCAAAAGCCTCACCGCAAATGCGAGTCACATTGACTAGGGTCTTGATTCGTCAACGGTAGCTTCCTCTCTGTGACTGGTCCGTAGCGTTTTGTACGGCTCCACTGAGGCTCTCTTGCAAGCTGCTTTGCGTCAGCGTGTGCTGTCTCGGATTTTTCTTGTGTCACCCAGGAGTACGGAGTAGGGATGTCAGCTTTGTTGGAGGTCGCTGATTGGGCAACGACGTTTTGCTCAACAGGCCTCCGTGCGTTAGTGTAAGACAGAGGCGTCCATGGTGGTGGCACTTGCGGTTCGCCAGTAGTTTGAAGGGAAACGAGGCAGCGAGGGCGTCCCAACTTGGCTGAAGCAAGATTTGGACATTTAAACGGCTGTGCTTTCGCCACTTTCTCCAATGGCTAACTCCTCATCATCATCTTCTCACCTTCTAGCCCCCACTTTCATACTTATGCCGATTGCCAGCCATATCCTATTCCCACTTGTCGCTGATTGCTACCTATCTTATTCACCATGGATCCCGTCTTCATGGAACTCCTTCCACAATCAGATGATGATAAATTCCTTTCCCTCCCTTACGAAGAACGATGGAGCAATCTAAAGCGAGTAATCGTCCACCTTTACACCCGCAAACGTGCAAGCGATGGGCGCACAGCAACTCTGGACCAGGTGGTCGAATTCATGAGGACCTATTACTCCTTCCATGCGGCGTACGTAACCCTTCATACTTCCCAGTCTATCCATCTACCTCTATTGCGCCCTGTCGAGGTGCCACCAGTATTCCAACTAACGGCCTTTGATGGTAGCCACACTGAGTATCGGCGACGTTTCAAAGACTGGGGCGTTACCAAGCGCATGACAACAAAGGCCAAGGACGCCACCACCAGTGCTCTTGTGAAGAGGAAACAACCTGGAGCGAGTGTGTCTGATGTCGTAACCCAACACGATGGCAAAAATACTCCTTTTGAGTATAAGAAGCTGAAAAGATATCTGATCAGCAGAAAGGCCTGCCTTGATATCGCACCTGGCTTGTATGCTCCTCCACCAGTGCAAATCATCAAATTTCTGCTGATATTTATCTAGACTTTCCTCATGGAACCTCCCCTACGCTGCTTTGATTTCCTCCTTCCCCCAGGATCCCGAAGCTCGCTCACCTTTCGGACCTATTGGGCCAACACCAGATACCCTGCAAATCCAAAGCCCTGGACCTCTCACGCCTGGTCGCGCGGCATCTGGCCCATCACCAAGGATGCAACTTATATATGAGAAGCATAAGGAGCATTGCACGAGCCTTTTTCTGCAGGGGCGCCTTGAGCAACTTTTGGTTAGCCTTCCCAGAGAAGACCGCAGGTAAGTTGCTATGACCTTACTCTAGGTTGGAGCGTTAACGGAAAGCCCATCACTAACTCATATTAGCACAATGATCAATTACTTCCATGACTACTATATACACAGTTTCGTACTAGCAAAGAACTGGAGCCAGGAAATACCATACCCAAATTCAACACAGACGGTTGGCCTTACATCCCAAACACGGAATGCAAACAGTCCTTGGACGCCCTCAGCATTTCTCAACCTTTCTTCTGGGCCCTCTTCGCCCGAAGTCTCGAACACGACGAGTATAACTTGCCCACCAACACAGCTTTGTAAATGGTCCATTCATATATCATTCGAGTCTTATTACGGAGCCGTCGATCGCGTGGAGGCCACGGCTTTGGAGGATTCACAACCGCCAGCTGATCATGATGCACGCTCATTTGTGGACTCACTGCACCAGTCCATGGTTTCGAATGATTTCACCACCACGACCAAAGCAGACCTTCCTTTGGCCCAGGATATGATCACGAGGTCCTTAGAGGAGGATCCAGCTGCTCTCCAGTTAGATGCCTGGAAGCTAGCCATAATGGCGGGAAACACGGAGCTTTTATCGCAGCTAAGTGAAGACAATGGAAAGATACCGGAAGGAATCGAGGCCATATATCCCTTCCACCTTGCGGCTGCATTCCTGAATGGCGGCAACCAGTGCTGTAGAGTACTGACTGAGCTTCAAGAGCTTCTTCCATCAGCCTTCACCTTTTATCACAACATCGATGACCATGGACACACAATCCTTGATGCTCTAGTAGTGGATGTACTTCGCTCTCATACCAATATTCAACCTAGTGACGTAAGCCACGAGTTCAATTCGCCAAATCGGTTTCCTGGAGAAGAAAATGATATCTGTGGCAGATGGGATGCTGAAACCCCGACCGTCCGCGAGCTCTTCAAACAAGGATATGCACGGATCCCTACGAGATGGAAGCACCCCTTTTGTCACACAGCCGTACAAGCAATTTGTCACAGCATTATTGCTATTTTTGCCTCCCCCGCTTCCCCAAACATAAATAGTCAGAGCGGATTATTCGTGAGACGATGCACAGCTTGCGGCCTAGAGCTCAGGCTCAGGCCTCTGCACACGCTTGTTGTCACGTCCTTTCACCTGGCCCAGCAAGGAATGCCCGGGGAAACTCTATTTGGAGCACTTGCGATGATGTTATGTCTAATTAGTCTTGGAGCAGACGTTTCAATGACAGCAAATATTTCCGTCGAGGAAATATTGGGGTCTTCAGATGCTGGGGTGTGCCGTCACATGCAACTTTCACCACTAGATTTGATGCAGGCCGTCCCTGCTGATGTCATTGAAGCTTGGAGTGGCAGTTGCAGAGTTGGATGGGATTGTCTCACTGATGTGTTAGCTGTTGCCATGTCGCATCAGGAGCAAGGGCGAAGCGGCCGGTCTCAGAGATCGTCGAGTCCACAGGGAGACGAGTGGCCCAGTACTCCGGCGTCAAGTTTCAGCGAGTCCTCGAATCCTGACTCGTGTTCGTGGTCGTTCCGAGACACGTATCATAATGACTGGATTAACCTACCTTGTAACGGCCCCCGAATCGGTCTTCTCTGGGCCTCGATTCAGACAGAGCTCCTTACGTATCGCAGAGTTAGAGATGGAGATTCTTGGATATCTAAGAGCTTCTCCATGGAGGCGATTAAGCGTTGGCTCGATAAAGACGACACAGAACTTTCCATGCCTCTCGTTCAAAACCAAATGTTTAAAAGGCATACATCTTGTGGGTGGTTCAACATTGCCGAAGACTTTCTCTGCCCAATCGCCGAGGAAGTATGCACAGAGCACTTCATGAACATGGACATCTTTAGCAGGACATCATACATCGAGACACCTAACCTCCTCAGATCTTTCGAGGATGTATATCAGATAGAAGACAAAGAGGTTTAAAGTCATAGGGAAACAAGTTAACTAAACAAGCTAAGGATTTAGATTAAATTAGGCACTTAATATATGCTTTAATAGATATTACTATATTTTATAATACAAAATCTATATATTAGTTTATATTACAGAATAGATTTTTCACGCTGGTTTTTATACTATAGGTAGACTTTAATTTAAAGTAAATTCTTGTTCTGAAAATACAAGCGCTTCGTAGCAAGATAACTATCTTGCATACATATATATATATATATATATTAAGAATAAGCCTTCGCCCTTCACCACTCTTTTTGTGATGGAATTGATCAGGCTAGTTGAGACCCTGTAGCAGGACCTTGAACGCAGGCATTGGCTTCCCTTCAGTAAGTACTTGTGAGATACAGCGCCCAATGTGCATACGATCCTACTCTATAACCTGTCCTACATAATAATCGGTTAAAAACGTGGTATTATAGACAGCGAAGCTTCTCATCGAGATTTACAGACACCTGGACAAATTTACTCTCCGCCACAGCGAATGCCGCCTGAGTTCCTACCTCTCTGCAAATAGCAAGCGTCTGGATCTGCTTCACTGTGCCTGTCGTCAACCTCCACACCTCCGAATTAGTATCGATGTCTTTGGTCTTGGGCCAATCCAGGAGTTCAAGCCCGACAAAAACGGCAAATAGGGGAAATATGGTCAGAACGGACTGTGCCGACGACCATACAACGCAATTCTAGAAGCTCTGGAAAGGTGCTCGAAATTGAGGGACGTAATCATCCAGGATGAAACCATTGCCGATGTTATCCATGTATGCCACATTGGACTTCCTTACCAAATCAACATAGGTCGACGGGTAGACTGGAAGGTTCGTGGTCTTGCCAGAATGTGTTGGTAAACCTAGACCGCCACTGGTAACCTGATCACCTGGTAGACCAAATTTCTCTAGAAACCAATCTCTGGGATCCAAGAAGACAATGCCGATGATGACTTTGGTAGTTTTCTTACGGGCTGCCGGGCGAATTATCTTGACAAGAGCTTCACCCTCTTCGCTTTGCACGGACTTTCCGTCCAGTGTAATAAGGATGTAATCATAGGTCAAGGCGAGTATTGAGGATGGCTTGCCAAATAAGAGTAACTCGTGCATGGAAAATAGCTACATCGCAAATTAGGTTGATGCCATATCCATCAGCCAGCATGAACACGAAGAGCGCAATAAAAGGTTCTGCAGATGAGAACTATATATTCTTCTGCGAGGCAGACAAAGTAAAGTTATGATTAAGATATGATTATATTTAAATTTCTTCATTACTTATTAAGAGATATTTTAGTTTAAAGTTGTACCTGTTAAAGATGTTTTAGGGTTAATACCTAGGTAGTATATATCCACGGTATATTTTCAGGATTAAAACCCTCTACAGTTATACCATTTCCGAAACTTGCAAACTTTTGCTTCTTGTCCTCAAACTCCATATCATAGTCCTCCCATCTTACTATCTTTGTAGCGGCGTAGTAGTGCAGCATTGTCCCTGGCCAAGGAACTATGACTTTTCCATTAGAGAGCTTATCTGTGTTATAGTGTTTTAGCCCCTGCTGATATCAATGCTTGGTAAACGAGGCGATGACTTACACCACGATGAACATGGCCCCGTCCAGACCATCTCATGCATACGTGATTGAGCCCACTGGTTGAAAGCGTCTTGGGCTGACTGTTTAACACAGACCGATTTCAAGCAATCTGTCTGAAGCCTGTCTATTACTCTGATCATGTAGTCGCTCGCTCGCTCGATTCCCGGGTATGCTGAACCGTTCACTGGACACATGGGCGGATTGAAAACTTGATTCCAGATTCTTAGCTTCGTTGGAAAAACGATACCCGGAGTGAGTTGACGTACCGAAGAAGTTAGGGAAGCCAGCGACTGTTGCTGCCAAGTAGCTCTCATAACCACCCTCCATTGACCATAGGTCTGACAAATCAGCTGCTCCCCGGCCTTTAATTGGAAACCTTGGCGTATAAGGCTCGAATCCTGTACCGCAGACAATTATATCATATGTACGCCGTTTGCCGTCACTCGTGATGATAGCATCTCCTTCCACTAGCTTGATAGGGGTAGAAATGAGCTCAACATTCGACTGATTCAAAGCCTCCATGTACATGTCGGCAGGTGTGAAACGGCGACAACCAGCCTTGTAGTCAGTTGGAAGGAGAGCCTCTAAAGCATGCGGATCCTCAATCTTTTTGATCATGTGCTGCTTTGCAGTTTGTGTAAATTCTTCCGCAGCTTTTGACTCGGCCCAAAGACCTTTAAAACTATGGGCTAGCTTTTGTTCCAGCTGTTGGCGGAATTGGAGGTATGAGCTAGGGTTATTTTCAAACTCCTCGATTGTATCTTTGGAATCTGTATGCACGTTAGAAGAAGCTGAGGCTATGTACTTGGGAAGATGGTGCTAACAGTTGACCTGCGGTTCTCCATTGTGAGAGAAGACATGCGGGACCAGATATGTTGGTCCACGAATAAAATTGCCAATAGATTTCGCATCTGCGTATGTTATTAAAACTCCTGAACTCTATAGTCATAGTCTCACCTTTGCTTAACTTGGCTAAACACTGGGTTGAGCTTGCTCCATTTCCTATCACAGCTATATCCTTACCACGATAGTCTAAGCCGCTTTGCCAGTCAGCTGTGTGTATTACAGATCCTTGAAACTTGTTAAGGCCTTCTATGTCTGGTAGCTTCCAGTTGTTCAGCCTTCCTGTGGCAAGAATGAAAACATCGCATTTGACCTTGATTTCTTTGTCAGGAACCCCACTTTTTTGCAAGGTAACATGCCATTCAGAGTGTCTCTCATCCCAACTTGCTCCGGTGCATGTTGTATTGAATTGAATGTATTGTCGGAGATTGAATTTAGTCACCGTCGCTTTCAGATAATCCAGAATTTCAGATGCCTCTGCATACAAGCGGCTCCACCGAGGATTGGGGTTCCAGCTGTATTGGTAGGCGTGGGATGGGATATCACATGAGCATCTTGTATATGTCAGCAATTGCCCATGGCGAAATACTAGTAAATAGGGCCCCTACCCAGGGTATCTATTTTCGGCCCAGGTTCCTCCTTCCTGGCTGTTCTTATCGTAAGCAGTGATGCTGACATTTTGTAACCGTGTAGTTACGTCTTTTAAACACTGAATACCCGATATTCTGTAAAGTTTAACTAATGAAATAGGTGATAATGGTGGTCGTCTTACCCAGCGCCTATAACGATAATACGAAGAGGCTTCGGGATAAAGGCTGTCGGGGATGGATCCATGTTGAGATTATACCGTGTAATCTCGCTTGTAGAGCAATAAAAATAGATTGGATAAAAAGGTAAGAGATATAGAAACGTAACTGGAAAGCTACAGAGAGAAGTTAACAACTACTGGTAGACTAACATATGTCCTCCTACTTTATATCACCATCATTTTGGTCATATAAAAACCAAGAACTTCAGTCTATGATAATAGAGGTTAGTGGCAAAACGGAACTGGTACTGAGTCTACAAGGTCCTCCCTGCATCGAGATCAACATCATTAGAAATTCCACCAGCTTAAACAATACGCTGACGTATTTATTGTGCTGATAGGGAGGGGCATCAGTGGTATTGCAAGCCAGCAGTCGGTATTCCTTGCGTAATTTTTTGTTCATCTCAAAATTTCTTCGCTTATAACCACAGGTTGTGTTTCGGGAAAGCTACAGTCACCGCCTGCGTGTCTCACATTTTCCAAGTTTACAAAAAGCGGAAGCGTAACGATGCATATGTATGGCTGCTTATCAACATTCTATATGCATATGCCATTCGTCAAGTCAAGAGTTCGGGCTGAGACATCCCCACCAAGTAATTACCAGCTGACCAGTTGGCTTGAAAACATCAATGGGCCACTGCAGACTTGAGCAAATTGCAGACGGTCACTTTCCTCTCGGGATTGGCTGTTTTTCATGTCTTGGCTGTACCTCTGCCGTGCAAGGTTTCATTGAGAGTCCCATGCGATCCCATAGGAGCGGCAGTCATCGCGTAAACATGGAACTGCGAAGGCGATCATCCCCCTATGCATGCAATTGAGTCGACTTTGATGTCAGTATGATGTAAAGATATATTCCTCATCATCGATTGATAGTATGAATGACCTCATGCAGCAAAATACGGTGTGTATCAAAGCCAAGTTTGATAGGTGAGGCGGCAGCAAGAATCTCGATTCATGGTTACTTGTTGTGAAGGGTAGTTCGGCCATACACCTTTGTATCGGTTTGAGGGTATAGGGATAAGAAGAATATTGGTCGCCGTGCAAATTCGGATATAAATGAGTCACTTCTCTATCCCAGTTAACGTAGTTTCAAAAACCCAACACACGCCTAAGACCACCATTCAAAAGCAAAAAACTATCGATTCCATAATGAGACAATACCTGAGTGAAGCTGCTGGTGACGCCTGTCCCACTGAACCTGCCATCTGGCAAAGATTACAGGACTCTGCTTCCAAATACCCTAATAGGCTTGCAGTAGCTAGCCTTCATCAGCCGCCAGATCTCTACAATGTCTCCAATGATACATCGAAGCATGACTACCTGCGCTGGTCATATGCGGAGCTTCATGTGGCGGTTGATAGATTTGCCTCTTCGCTTTGGCGTCTAGGTGCGAGATCCGGAATGGCCCTGGCGACAATCTTGGATAACCGAGTCGAGTTCATTATTATCTCTTGGGCTGCTCATAAACTTGGATTAACTCTGGTGCCCATCAACCCACGAACGCTAGACCAACCTGATGAAGCAGACCATATGCTCAGCAAGGCAGGAGTCGCTATTGTCGTCCTGCAAGATGCCGACAAAGGTGACCTACTCAAGTCCCAGCACAAAATCAACATCTTTGTCACAGGTACACCATTAAATGGATCTTGGACTTCCTTCTCAGCCTTAGTAGACCACGAAGTCAAGGTAGAAACGACCAGAGAGAAACAGATGCCTCAGAGCCCGGTACTTGTTCTTTTTACAAGTGGCACCACCTCAAAGCCCAAGGGCGTGCCACATACTGACACAACACTCAACGCCTTCTGTCAGAACCTTGGCCTTGGAGGAGTCTCTAACACTAATGTGTTTTGTTCTGTCCTACCCAATAATCATGCCATGGGGTGTTTCTTTCCTCTTCATTTCATGATGCATGGGGGCGCTGTCGTATTCCCTAGCCCTACCTTTGATGCATCAGAAACGGCAAAAGCCCTGGAGACAGAGAGCGTCACTCACTTTGCATGTGTTCCTACTGTACTTTCCGCCCTTGTCGAGGTTCTGGAATCACGAAGCACCATTTTCCGCTCAAACTTGCAAGACACTTGCCTATCTGGGGCATCTGTGACACCCGAGCATATCCGACAAGCTTTCACTACGCTTAAGAGTAAAGGGGTTTCGACAGGATTCGGCATGACTGAAGGAAGTCCTATCTGGGCTTCTCCTAGGAACAAGCCAGAGGATCTGATCATTGGGAATCTATCTATTTCTGGTTCTGTATCACCAGGTGCCCGTGTTCGAATTTGCGCACCCGACACCCAGACGCCTCTGCCAGTAGGTCAAATTGGAGAAATCCACGAGACTGGGCCTGGCACAATTACGTCTTACCTTGACAAAGAAGAGGCTTCCGAAAAATTCTACAAGGATGAGCAAGGGAGAACATGGTTCGTGACAGGTGATGAGGGTGTCATGTACGCAGACGGGCGATTCAGCGTCACAGGGAGATACAAGGACATGATCATTCGGGGAGGCGAAAACATTTCTCCAGCAGTTATCGAAGGTGTCATAAGCCAGCATTGTAATATTCAGGTATGGTGAATTAACCGAGCCCACATTTACACCGAGTTCAGCGGCTAATTCGTCTCCTAGGGTTATGTGGTGGGTGTAGCTGATGACATTGCAGGGGAAGTTCCGGTACTTGTACTCCCAGACAAAGGACTTGAGATTTCATCAAGCATCCGTGACCTCATTCACCGCCACCTCGGCCCTGCCTTCGTGCCAGAACGCATCTTGACGCTAAGCCATCTTGGAATCGAAAAGGTTCCAATAACCTCATCTGGCAAAATCCAGAAATCGCAGCTTTCGTCCATAGTTAGTGAGTTCCTTAGCCGCGAGGAAGAGGCGCCAGAACAAACCTCCGAATCTCAACTTCGAAATCCGGTCCTTGCTGCTTACGCCAAAGCCACCAATATCCCGGCTGATACCCTCGAAACAAGAGCAGAGGTATCTCAATTTACAGACAGTATCACCTTAATGAGAGTTAGAGCCTACCTGCGAAAGAACACAGGCCTCGTTTTGACTGCAAAAGAAATGTCCCAGCATCCAACTATTGAGTCTCAGATTGGGTTACTTCAAGAACGGACTCCTGATCAAAGGTTCGATCCGCCAAAGGAGCTAGTTTTCAGAGGGCCTCCAAAGTTGGATGAACTAGAGCTATTAGTTGGAGATGTTGATGAGGCTCAAAATATGGTTTCGAAGATCTCCAAGGTATTGGAGAACAAAGGCTTCAGTTGGTCTCAGGTATCAGACGTCATTCCCATGAATGATTCCCTACAGGTTCTGCAAGATACGGGTTTTCTGGACACTTGCAACTTTTCCATTGCCGTTCAGACAGATTCATCAAGCGTTCAGGTTCGTAAGAAACCTCTCGATTCTTTGAAGCGAATGATGCTAACTGTTTCAGGATCTTCGTTCGGCGCTACAGAGAACCCTACCCTATCACCCAATTCTAACCTCTTTCGTTGTCGTCGACAGCAAGAACAAGGCATACTATGTGACACTGAAAGTCCAAGACCATCTATGGGATTCTTATCTGATCGATGGGGGGTCAGTTGATACTATAGAGCAATTTCAACAAATGGCTGTTGACTTTCACCAGCCCGACCTGTCAGCCAGGCCTGGGCCTTTGTTTTCTTGCCTCCTCACCCACATTGAAGAGACTGGTTCAGCTGGAATGATAGTTTATGGTAAGCAGAGCTGTTCTTCCGCTTTCAGGGTTCTGTCAACCTAATCATATCTTCAAGTGCATCACGTTGTGCAAGATGCGTCATCATTTCGACTCTTTTTTGAGGATCTGGATCAATCGCTCAAGAATATCCGTGCCAGAATCATTCCACACAAAGACTTCAAGGCCTGGGCAGATTCTTATCACTCTCTGAGACACTCGCCAGCTGCAACAAAAAGTGTCAAATTCCACGTGCAGCGATTGTCCGACTTATACAACCACAAAGCCGCCGTGTATCCCCCGGCAAGGGTTCCTCGACAAATCATCACTGAGAGTCCCGATGGTTTAGACCACAGCTTCGACGCACCTGGGCTAGTGCAGATGAGAGAAGAGAATCCTCAAATCTCTGCAGCTGTCGTGCTTAAAGCAGCCATGGCCCTGGTCAACGTACAGCGGACAGGGCTTAGCCATTCCATCTACTTCAACTTTGAAGCTGGTAGGGGCCAGTTTCCTTTTCTAGCGGACGCACTCCAGGCTTTGAATCCAGATACGTTTGAGTCTTCAGATGTGAATGGGCCACTTCTACAACATGTCTGCAACTTGATAGAGGTGCCGCGCGACGAGACTGCCATGATATTCCTCAATCGCTTGCAAGAAGATCAAGTCAGTCTCACAGCTAATGCGCATGCTCCAATGAGGCGCATAATCGAGGAACTCGATGCTGAAGGCAATGGTAGTGGTAAGATTTTCTTGGACGCTTTGAGTACTCAATTCCTTACGTGGGTTCCTGGCTTGCTCGGCGAGCACGAGAAGATACAGGTAGGCAAGATTGGAATCAGATGTGCGGCGGGGCTTGTTGTTGTTGCATCTATAGGAGGACCAGCCGCTACAACTTATATGCTATCTATGCGGTGGGATGTCGCAAACTATTCGCGTCAGGAAACGAAGGCCTTTACACAAGATCTTCAGTCGGCTGTTTTATGGCTTACCGCAACTTCAAATCAGCATCGCCCAATAAGAGAGTTCCTGAAGGTCATTGATTGTAAGTAAGAATGTTAGTTTTAAGATATGCTTTTTTATCTATTGTTTTATACAAGTCATCCAAAGGCATACATGCGCGAGCTTAGAGGGCGCTTAGAGTTTATGCCAACACAACCTTTCCTGAATTCTAATACGGGTTATCGGTAGAAAATCAGCTTATGTCAATTCAATGTCGGTCAGGCTTGCCCTACACTTAGCTACACTTCCCAGATACTTACCCTGTTGAGATCTCGCCCAAGCGACACAGTCCTTATTGTTGGCAGCATTGAGAACTCTTATGTTTATGTA